CTGCTTTATTTAGACACTGTGGTTTACAAAGTAGTTCATAATGCATTTGTTACAGGTATTCAATATTACAACACCAGTCGCACTACCTGTGTGACCTTCTCATGAAGCCAATTTCGATGTGTGATACTTGGAGAATTCTCTCCTTTCATTTATTGTGAATTAATTAGTTAATGGAGACCTGAATAAGAGAAGTGCTCCATGATTTTTAATCATCAATCAGCGAGTTTCATTAACAAGGTTCTGACAGAACTGAATCTGCAAGATGGAGAACCCCACCCTGAGTCATGATTAATGCCTCTGGTAAACACCAGCCTCAGAATGTCCTGACTCACACACAGAGGCTGTGACAGAGCACTTCTAGGCACCGTAGAACCAGTGTCTCAAAGGAGAGGATCACTCTCTGCTGCTTACAAAGCATCCAAGCAGATGCTCTGCATCTGGCTGTGGCCGAGTGGGAGAGCTTATTGACTGCTCTAGAGAAAAACCTTGAAGACTGATTTCAGTGGGATTTGAGGGTGTGGCCAACCACACAGGGGTGGAACCTAGCACACAGCCCTCTAAACCATTCGGCAGTTTTGAAATGGGAGAGGTGAGTTGGCAATAAAGGAGAGTGAGTGAACAACACTTATTTCCTACACCTTTCAGAGTTCAAGGTCTCATTATTTCTCACATCACTAATGTCTAAGACATGATGAATACTATGAAGCAGGCACCTCTTAATGCAAGAAACGCTGACCTCATCCAAATTCTTACTGAGAAAAAGGTGTAACGATGCACTTCTGCTCTTACTAACTTAGCTTTTCTGAGCCAGTGTCTTAAATTTACTTTCTTATATAAAATGAGAATAACGTGCCAAGTCATAAGTATTTGTGAGAATTAAACGGATTCAAGAGTGCAGACTTGCATTGGCTAATACCTGATGCTCAACACATTTCTTAAAATGCAAACCAGTATTTTGTAAAGCTATTCCACGGAATCAACAGTTTTTCATTATGGGAAGTTAAAAAACTGTTTTGGCAGCTGAACAGCTGACTTCCACTGCCTTGCTAGTTGAATCCCATGAAGTATTCGTACCTTCTTTGCTGGATGATCTACGTTCCCCTTTTTGCCTCACATGTTTGGGGTTTTAACATCATCAGTAGCTACACTACCACTATCTTTTGCATAGAAAACAGGATTTGAGATCTCAGTTCCTCACCCATTTGGAGCAACTTTGTTTTGTTTTCTTTCTGTTCTGAATTTTTATTATTTTAATTTATTTTTATTATAAATTATTTTTTATTTTATTTTTATTATTTTATTATTTTAATTTTTGTAGTAGAGTAGTTTGCTGAGGGAGGAAACTAATTCTAAGGAGAATGTGAGGGCGTGGGGGGAGAGGAGGGCAGAGAGGGAGAGAGGAAAGGGAGAGAGGGAGGGTGGGAGAGAGAGAGAAAGAGAGAGAGAGAAAGGGAGAGAGAGAGAGAATTTCATTAAGTAAAGAGAAATTATGTGCCCCAAGCTGAGATGTGGGTGACTCAGATACCAGAAATAATAAGATCACACCATTACTTTTTTGTGTTCTTTTGAAAACGCCATTAACCATTAATACTTCACTTGGAAAATGAAACTAGTTGGTGGCATGAAATCAGAGCATAGAAACCTAGCATGGGGGAGAGATGTTTCACTCAGACCACAGGAAACTTGGTAAATTCTCCCTGCCCTACCGTGACGAGCAATTTTGGGCTTTGGAATTTAGAGCCTTGTTTACTAGGATGACTTGTAGAATCATTCTCTTCTCTAAAAGTTTGACCAACTCAGTTCTAGTCCAGGAATATACTTCACTAAGTTTTGCTTACCTAACAGCTCCACCCCACTTTCTAGGTCTATCTTATTTATCTGAGGTCCCCCTGATGGGGGTTCTGGGAGATGATAAAATTTTCTCCAGGTTTCCTTCCACAGATGGCCAATGATGTACACTTTTCCACCTAACATTTAGAGGGCAACTTTATTTCCCTCCTTTGGGGTGGGGTTAAGCACAGCTCATTGTTTCCCTAGGTATTGCCAACAGACAAGTTTTCTTGAGAGGAAACATTTGTGCAAAATCTGGTTTCAGGTCAGTTTGGGACAGATGGTTCTGAGATGTCTACTCAAAATCAAAGTCTCATGTCTGATTCTCCTGCTCACTGGGGGACAAAAAAAAAAAAAAAAGAACACATTTTTCCTATTTTAGGAAATTTTTTTAATTTATGTTTAAGACTCTAACATTCCACCCATTGTTTCCTCCCCATTGAACTTCCCCACAGCTATGAGAATCCTTTATTCTTCATTCTCTTTCATTGTAAAAGCAATAAGCATTAGAACAGAGACTAAAGTAGCAGCTAAAAATAGAATATCTATCTAGAGAGAGGGAATAAAAGAAATTCTCCCTATCAGAATAATTTACTCTATTTTTGGATTTACATATGCTTCCCACTAAAAATTAGCAACAAAACAGTAAGAAGGAAAGTCTACAGTTCTGTGGTAGAATGTGGTAGAATTCCAGATTTGATTATTTATACCAGTGTTTCTCAACCTTTTTCTGACTGTGGCCCTTTCTGACTTTGTTTCCTTCTTGTACCTCCCCCCCCCCCACTAACTGGCTTCTTATCTTGTTATGATCCCCGCCCCCCATTACTCAGTTTTCACATGTGACTCCTGTGGAATATCTCAGGGGCCCAGGAAGCACTGAAATCAGTTGAGAAACACTGATGTCTACTGATGCAGAAATCTAAAATAGCTGTTGGCTTAATTTCATTAGCACCTGAAACAAATGACTAGAACCAGTGACTTTGTTTGTATCCACAATTAGGACTCTAGCTTTAGAAGTCACCAGAAATGCTATCCTAAGACATGAGAGCAAGTGTATGCCAGGGATACCCATTTCTCCATATGATTAAATCTTTCTTCCTCCCAGTTTTTCTCTGCATTCTTTTGCTCTTTTCTTTCTTCCTTCCTATACTAGTCTTTAAAAAATACAATAACTCTGGACAAGACCAGAGAGTACAGTGGGTAGGGCACTTGCCTTGCATGTGGCTGACCTTGGTTCAATCCCTAGCACCTCAGATGGTCCCTCAAATCCTTTCAAATGTTGACCCAGGAGTAAGCCCTGCGCACAGCCCAAAATCAACCAAACAAAAATTAGTCCTAAGAGAAGACATAGCTTTAAAAATCCTTATGAATATGTCTATTTTGAACACCTTACTCTCTTGAATGGATGGAATGATCTTTTTCTATGGTCCTTTAATGATTCTTTGCTCCTGAGGACACAGAAACACTTTAAAAGTCTCTAAAGACAAAGCTGTCATGCCTTCCTTCTTACTGGTTCTTTTAGCTGAATTGATCCCTGCTGGATCTGGCTGTTGGAGTGAACCCTTTCTCAAACCCTCCCCCAAGGCCTGCAACGTCCTTCAGCAGCTCTTTCTTCTCTATTACCCTTTCCTGCTGTATAACTAGGCATATTCCCACCTATTCCAATAGCAGTTTTTTAAACAACCTACAGCAGTTTTAGGACTGAGCAATGTAACATGTGTTTGTGTACCTGTTTAATTCTTCATAATTGTTTTGGATTTGGGGTCACACCCCTTGGATCTGGGAAAGGGGATTTACTTCTGGCAGTGCTTAGGGGCCACTGGGTTCTGGTGCTGGGAATTGAACCCAGGGTTCCTGCATGCAAAGCATTTGCTCCAGCCAGTTGAACTATCTCCCTAACCCTCTTCATAAGTTTCAGTGTGTCTTTCTCTCAGAATCCCCTTAAGCTAGGTAGACTTACAAGCATCATTGAAGTACTTAGTAGTCACATTATGGAAATCAAGTAACCATGGTCTCCTTTCCTTTATGTATAATTATTTAAACATCATGCAGATCAAGCCGACTTACAAGGGTATTACTGATCAAAAACAAAATGTTTGCTTAGAGTACTAATTTTTGGTCAGTGTGTATATTTTACTTTTAGAAGTAGAAACTATGTGAAATCTATAAAGTTTTCCATTTCCAGAGTAAGTTGTCGAACTCAGAATCTGGATGTCCTTGGTGAAAACCAGATGACACACTTCTTGCCTTTCTCAAGCCAAGTCCCTCCCTCGCTGGGCCACCAGGGTTTTCCAGCCAGGTACTGGGAGCTGAAACTATGCTGGCAAAGTTCTCACCTGACCCCCCCTTCCCAGGAGGCGTGTTCGCTTCCCTCTGCATTGTGCAACAAGACCAACCCCTGGGAGAGACCAGAACAAATGCCAACAGCTCCCAGTAAGTCACCTCCCTCTTGTCTACTTCCGATGGTGGGCTGGTGGAACAGGGAGTACCAGAAAACCGCCAATGGGAACAACATGTAATGATCATCATGGAAACTTGTGGTAAGATTATATAGTCATTTTTACAAAATTGTGAGCTGCAAGCAAAGGCATCTAACATTGTTGTTCTCATTTTCAGTGCTGAGTTAGAATGGTATAACCTGAAATCAGGAACTTTTTGTAATCTGCAATAACAAAAGAAGGGTAACTGGATTTCTCTGGTATAACCTCTATAGTGCTAAGGGAGAAAAATCAAGAAGTTTAGTAACTTTTCTATTTTCGGCCATGGTTGGAAGTGGAATTGACCTTAAAATTCTGTGGTTTCAAAGAACGTCTAAGTGGTGAATTAATTTGATGTCAAGAGGGGAAAAAAAAATAATCGCCTCATTCTCATGCAGTCTAATCATAGACCACCCCCCTTTTCTTCCCCAAGCGTTAGGGGAGGGAGCATTTAATAATGGTCTGTGTAAACTGATGCCCAGGCGGTATAAGTTCCAACAAGCGCTGCTGGTACAAGTCAAAACGGCGCAAAGAGCAGTCCCCAAGGGCAGTCCCCGAAGCAAACAAACAAACAAAAAATTCGCTTAAATCCACCACCCCGGCCCGACCATGACAATGGCTTTGCTGGCGCGAATCCTAAAAGCCGGACTGAACCCGGCGCCCGCGCGGGGCTTCTGGGTCCCCGCGGGGGCCGAGGACAAAGGAACTGGGCTGCCCGCGGCGCCGCGGACCCCCGACCGCACAGAGGGACCCCGGAGCCTCGCAGCCATGCCCGGGCCCGGGACCCTCGCCAACCTGGTGGAGTTTTTCTGGAAGGACGGCTTCAGCCGCATCCACGAGATCCAGGTAGCGGCGCGCGCCGGGCCCGGAGGGGGAGCGCGCTAGGGGGGCTGCCCGGAGTTGGCGGGGGAGCTGGAGAAGGGGGCACCCGAGGGGAGATCCCAGGAGGGGGCGCTGGGGAGGGGACCCAGAGAGGGGATTCTCGGGGCGGGGGGCGGGAAGGAGGGGCTGGGACTCCAGGGAGGGGGCGCCGGAGAGGAGCTCCCAGGATGGGGCCTCGGGGAAAGGGAGGCCAAGAGGGGGGAGCCGGGGCGGGGACCTGGGAAGGGGCTCGGGGAGGGGGACTCGGCTGCGGGCACTGCTTCACGGAAGGGGGCCCCGGCGGGAGCTGTGAGCTGGCCGGAGGCGCCGCCCGTCCCCGGAGCCGTCCCGGGCCCCGCGCCCGGCCGTGGGGGAGCAGCTCCACGCCGGGCTGGGAGCTCCGGGGCGCCGGGGTTTGGTTTCGTTGTTTGTTTTTTATTGCGTGGCGGGGATCTCCCTAGGGCTCGTTCCTACAATTTTTGGTTGTTTGTTTGATAAATGGAAAGGGGTGTAGTGGGGGGAAGGGTTTCGGGATTTGGGGTTATTTGAAGCCGCAAGTGAGGAGGGCGGACGAAGGCATGAACATGCAACTCGCTCGCGATCGGCCGGGGTTTTAGGAAGAACTCAGCATCCGCCAAACACCGTGTGGGGAGTGTTGGGACGGGCTAATTCTACCCCTTTCTCTTTTGGCCAGAGTTTCTTTCTACGCCCACCTCAATCGAGCGTTTCAAGACAAGGTGACTCTCCATTTGCGAAAGGTCACCAAGCCCCTTTCTCTTAGCAGTGGCTTCTTGCACTTGAATTTGTCATTGTCTTTTTTCTAGTCTGCATTCACTGTTAGAGCTAGACTGAGATCTAGAGGGGACTGGCCCTTTGGCTTCTTCCAACACTTTCTCCCTCCCATACAGACAGAGACACACAAACAGACAGACAGAGAGACACACATATCACTGTGCTACTTCTGTTTATTGCATATTTTCCTTCCTTCCTTCCTTCCTTCCTTCCTTCCTTCCTTCCTTCCTTCCTTCCTTCCTTCCTTCCCTCCCTCCCTCCATCCCTTTTTGGGTCACACCCAGTCATGCACGCAAGGCTTACTCCTGGCTCTGCACTCAGAAATTACTCCTGGAAGTGCTCCAGATATCATATAGGATGCTGATGATCAAACGCCCTACCCATTGTACTATCGCTTCTGCCCCTACTTTTCCTTCCTTCATTCTTTCTCTCAACCATTAACTGCTTTAATGGGGCAGAGGCCAGGACTGAAGCTGTAGAAGCAGACTTTGTGAAGAGAGCAGAGTGGAGATGAGAAACAGTTCCAACTTGCCCTCCTTCTCTCCATCTCCCAGACCCACCTTACACAGTTTCCCCCAGACGTGCTTAGAGAGGGGATCAGAGATTAATTTCTCTCTTTTCTGTGTGTAATCTCAATTTCATTTATCAAGACAATAACTTTCAGATTTCATTTTGAAAAAGTATTTGCTGCTAACAGATTCAGAGCAGACTTTAAAAAAAGTTTTAAAAGAGTTCACCTTTATTTCTGTCAACTTTTTTGTTGTTGTTGTTGTTGTTGCTTTTTGGGTCACACCCGGCGATGCACAGGGGCTACTCGCCTCTGCACTCAGGAATCACTCCTGGCGGTGCTCGGGGGACCATATGGGATGCTGGGAATTGAACCTGGGTCGGCTGCATGCAAGGCAAACGCCCTCCCCACTGTGCTATCGCTCCAGCCCCCTATTTCCATCAGCTTTTATCCTCATACTACCCCCCACAAAGTTGGCTTCATGGCATATTTTTCTTTGATTAGTTAATAATGCTAAAACCTGAATCTGGATCAGGATTTAAAGCCAGAGAGAAGGTCTGTGGGTGCATGATTTGTTTTGACCCCACACTGCATTGGCTCCTACCCCAAGCCCCTAGCACTCAGGGAGTGACCCCCAGCCAGGAGTAGTCTGCCAACCAACAGTAGATGTGGTTCTCCCCCAAACAAACAACAGAACAAAAAGTCTTGATCTGGCAGGAGTCCCCTCTGCTATAGGGAGTGTCTCAGCTGATGACGGTTTCCCTCACAGCTGCCCATCACCCAGGCCTTCTTCTGCCTAGGAGTCAGGCCATGTCTCTGGCAGTGAGTGGCCTGCAGACCCACAGACAAGGGCCACAGAACTACTCTCCTGCTACTACCTCAGATCAGGATAGCCCCAGTGTCTCTAGCTTACTGAACCCATTGTTCCTTACTCCATTACTTTCCAAATGGTTAGCACTATTCAGAACCCCTTGGGTTGCTGCCTGACCGTGGCTACCCAGGCAGGAAGTCAAGGCTTCTGAGATTTGAGCTACTAGTTAAACCTTTTTTTTTTGCTTTTTGGGTCACACCCGGTGATGCTCAGGGGTTACTCCTGGCTCATGCACTCAGGAATTACTCCTGGTGGTGCTCAGGGGACCATATGGGATGCTGGGAATCAAACCAGGGTCAGCTGTGGGCAAGGCAAACACCCTACCTGCTGTGCTATCGCTCCAGCCCCTAGTTAAACCTTCTTGACCTTCTCTCTCTGTTGCCCGCAAATCTCTTCTAGAGAAGAGAATGGTCTTTTGAAGGGGTCCAGTGTACTTTTATTGGGCGTGTAATCACAGTGTTAACTTACCAGGAATCTTGCCATTCATGTAAGTGGTTCAGGTCTTTATTTTTATAGGTACAAGAACTCTAAAAGGTTACCCAGATGATTAGCCAGAGAGATAGTAGAGGGGTTAATTAAGGCTCCTGCCTTGCATGCAGATTACCTAGGTTCAATCCTGGCACCACATGTGGTCCCCTGAGCACTGCCAGGAGTGATCCCTGAGTCAGGAAACAAAATTAAAAATTACATAGCAGAGAAGACTCTTTTGGTTTTTGCTCACACCCTGTGGTGCTCGGGAGAACCACTTCGTGCTGGGGACTGACCCCTGGTCTCCAGCATGCAAAGTGCTTTCCAGTCCTTTGGACCATCTCTCTAGCCCAGGACAGGCCTCTCAATTCTAAGTCCCAGGAGATACAAGTGTGGCAAAGAATGTGACTCATTTCAACACGAGACTCTCTACAAACACTTGTGAAATCTTGGCTAGTCACTTTGCCTCAGGACCTCAGAGCTAACAGTCTTCATCCATTTCATGCATTAATGTGAATTCAGATAAGATTATTCATAATAATCTGTGGAAGGACTGTTGAAGGATATTATAAGCTATAATAACATAAATAATAGTAATGAACTTTTGGGACAGGGAATAGCTCAAAGTACTGGAAAGAAAGGTTAAAAATAATAGCGATGAGCATTGTTAGAGGTAAGATGAGGTAAAGTTATGTTCTTTCTCCATTTTACAGGTGAGGAAATTGGGGGACAGTGAGACCTCACTTCCTAAGGCATCCAGTTAGGAAACCGTGAGCCAAGATTCATATTCTCAATTACCCACACTTATTATCTACACAAATCTAAGTTCTCTGACTAATGTAATGTTCCACAGCCCACTAACAAAACGGAGCATGTGCTGTCTATATTTGTGAACAAGTAATTTGTATATAAAGACTTTGGGGGTGAGTGTGTGGTTGGGTCATAGCCGGTGGTTCTTGAAACTTACTTCTGGCTCTGAGCCCAAGGATCCCTTCTTGCAGTTCTGGAGAAACCATATGTGGTACTGGGGATGGAACTACAAATATAGTTTTAAATATAGTGAAGTTTTACATAAATTCAAATATAAATACAGTTCAAATGCAAATACTGAACTACATGTGTTCAGCCACGTGCAAGGCAAGTGCCTTAACCTGTGTATTATCTCTCTATTTCAAGATATATATATATTTTTTCCTGGGACTTTGTACAGGCTATTTCAAATTGCCTGCAGAGTGTTCTCTCCTCTCTGTACAGCATTTGGGGAGCCATTGAAAGTCTGTGAGAAATGGCAGAATCTGTTTAACTTAGGAGTTTCGGAATCTAGAGCTCATCTGTGTGTGTAGTGACATTTCCTTCTTGTTTCTTCACCTCAGATATTAAAAACAAACCCCCCCAAAAATCTATCTTTAAAAAATGAGAACACTCCTATGATTGTGATTAATGATGTGAAAATATATTTCTCTTAGAAATAAAGTTACTATTCTGATCAATTATATAAAAGTAGAATTTCCTCCGCCCCGATTTTCTGCTCCCCTAACACACAGGAATGTCGATGTCAAAGGTATATCATATTTGTGTATTTTTTCCTTTCTTGATTTCTCCATGGTATTGCAGCAGAAGCACACACGGGAATATGGAAAAATCTTCAAGTCTCACTTTGGTCCTCAGTTTGTAGTATCTATTGCAGACCGAGACATGGTGGCTCAGGTGCTGCGGGCAGAGGGCGCTGCGCCCCAGAGAGCCAACATGGGATCCTGGCAGGAGTACCGAGACTTGCGAGGGAGATCCACCGGCCTCATCTCGGCGTGAGTATGTGGGGCCCTGCTGGAATATGAATAGAAGGTTCTTGCTTCCAGGTGTTGGGCCCCTAAAAATAAAGTACAGCTACAAATAAAGTACAAAATAAAGAATCGTGTTGAAAGAGTTTTCAGGACTAGGGAGAGAGCACAGTGGGCAGCGTGCCTGCCTTGCATGCTGCTGACCCTGGTTTAATCCCCAGCTCTGCATACTGTCCTCTGAGCACCACCAGCAGTGATCCCTGAGTACAGAGCTAGAGTGAGCCCCAAGTACTTCCGGCTATGATCCTCTCCCTCCCCCCCAAACCAAAATCGAACCATCCAACTAAAATAGAGCCCCTTTTAGTGTCTGCAAGTTCAGGAGCTGTTTCTCAAGAAATACTTGGTGACTCCAGAGATTTAGTCTGTGACAACCTACAGAGCTGATGGTCACTGGATAGGGGTTGAGAGGATGAGAGGGAAGTTGAGGGGTCAGCTCTTTTAGAATACCAGAAGAGGGCATAAATACCTCTTACAACAGTGGGTGATTTTCCTGTCTGTCTCCAAGGTCATTTTTCTGGGAATTAAGTTTATTAAAAACAATTATTTCCAGGAAGGTATGATAAGTTAGGGAAGGAAACACAAGGACAATGAGAAAGGGGGAAAATGCCTGCTCTAGAGGCAGGTGGGGAAATGGGGGGTGGGGTGGGTTGGGGGTGGGAGGGAAACTGAGGACATTGGTGGAAGGAAATGAACACTGGTGAAGGAATTGGTGTTGGAACATTGTATGCCTATAACTAAGTAATGAATAACTTTGTAACTCTTATTTTACAGTCATTAAAAATTGTTTCCATATATATATATATATTTGCTTTTTGGGATGCTCAGAGGTTACTCCTGGCTTTACATTCAGAAATTTCTCCTGGTGGTGCTGGGGGACCATAGGGGATGCCGGGGAGAGAACCTGGCGAGCCAGAGTATTTTTGTTCAGCAAAGCCATCATAAAATTAGACAAGCAAACCATAGCAATGTATTTGAGCTATGTAGTCTATAAATATTACATTACAGTATATTTACATTACAATATAAATATTACAGTGGAAAGAAGGTGCGTGCAAGACAAACACCCTACCCACTGGGTTATCCCTCTGGCCCCCCAAATTTTAAAGGCTTGCATTAATATAATACTTATATATGAGAGGTATCAACAAAAGGGAAAAATGTTGATATAAATACCTGAAACCTGAGCTGATTCTGAGCTTCTGAGATCCGGGAAAAGAGCATTTTTCTACCCTGGCTTGCATTCACTCCTCTCAGAGTAGGGCAACCGGGAAGAAAATTGATTCTTGCCCTCAGGGGAGAAATTGAGGAGCCAAAGTGAGATCCAATAGTGTGTGTGTGTGTGTGTGTGTGTGTGTGTGTGTGTGTGAGAGAGAGAGAGAGAGAGAGAGAGAGAGAAAGACAGACAGACAGACAGACAGACAGAGGAGAGAGGAAGAGACAGAGACACAGACACACACACACACACAGAAAGAGAGAGAGACAGAGAGAGAGAGAGAGAACGAGTGATTAATGGTTGCGTGTCTCCCCAATTCATAAGCACATACATATTCAAAAAGTCGCAAAGAGAATTTCTTTTTTTTTATTCCAATAAACACTTTTAATTGTCCACAGTAAATGTAACCATTCAGAAATGATAATGTAGAAGTAATATACTAAGGCAGTTTCTGTCTCATTAAGATGTGGGTCACATACCGATTACTGCTCCAGTCTCGAACCCGACAGTCTAATTCCTCAGTCCGTGCTCTACAACAGCCTTGCTGCCCCATTTCTTCCTGAGACTCTGGCCTGTTCTCAACATCTAATAATTAAAGATTCAATGCCAGGCTAATGGCCTGACTCAAGGGCAGTTGGTGACTTTCCTTCTCTTTCTAATTGTTGGTGCCTGCATGCTTCCATTTATTTATTTATGGGCTGGAGCAATAGCACAGCGGGTAGGGCATTTGCCTTGCATGTGGCCAACCCGTGTTCAATTCCTCCGCCTTTAATTGGTCCGCCCCTCTCGGAGAGCCTGGCAAGTTACTGAGAGTATCTCACCCACACTGCAAAGCCTGGCAAGCTACCTGTGACGTATTCGATATACCAAACTCAGTAACAAGTCTCACAATGTTACCGGGCCCGCTCAAACAAATCAATAAACAATGGGAGGACAGTGACAGTGACAGTGATTTATTTATACTTTTTTATTGGCTCACTGTGAGAGAGACCCTTACAAAGCTGTTCATGATTAGGTTTCAGCCATACAGTATTTCCAACACCCATCCCTCTCCCTCCACCAGTGTACATGTACATTTCCCACACCAGTGTCCCCAGGTTCCCTCCCCATCACCCCCACCCCCAACCCCTGCCTGCTTCTATGGCAGGGCTTTTCCCCACCTTTCCTTTCTCTCTCTCTCTCTCTCTCTCTCTCTCTCTCTCTCTCTCTCTCTCTCCCCCCCTTTTGGGCATTATGGTTTGCAATATATACTAAATGGTTATCAAGAATATCCGTTTACCTACTTTTAACACTCAGATCTGTCCAATGTGATTATTCCCTGCTATTATTATCATGTGGTTGCAGAGAATTTTTTTCTTTTTGGGTCACACGCAGCTGTGCACTGGGGTTACTCCTGGCTCTGCACTCAGGAATTACCCCTGGTGGTGCTTGGGGGACCATATGGGATGCTGGGAATCGAATTCAGGCCGGCTGGGTGCAAGGCAAACGCTCTATCCACTGTGCTATTGCTCTAGCCCCGGTCACAGAGAATTTCTTAACCAAAGGGAATAGAGCAAAAAATATGCACATAGTCCACAATCTCCTTGCCTAGAAGTGTGCCAATTTGTTTGGGGTTAGCATGAGGTGTTGGTAAAGCTTGTTTAAAAATAATAATCAGGCCAGAGAGATTGCACAGCTGGTAGCATGCTTGCCTTGCATGTGGCCAACCTGGATTCGATTCCCGGCGTCTTATATGATCTTCCCAAGCACCACCAGGAGTGACTCCTGAGTGTAGAGCCAGGAGTAACTCCTGAGCATTGTCAACTATGCTCCTCCCCACCAAAAAAAAAAAAAAGAAAGAAAATAATAAAAATAATAGTCATGGGGACTGGAGCAATAGTATAGTGGATAGGGTGTTTGCCTTGCATGCAGCTGACTCAGATTTTATTCCCAGCACCCCATATGGTATCCCAAGGTTTGCCAGGAGTGATCCCTGAACACAGGGCCAGGAGTAAGTCCTGAACATCATCAGGTATAGCCCAAAGAAAACAAAATTTTTAAAAAAAAATTTTTAGTAAAAATAATATATTTATATTTGCTTCTTGGTCTTAAGATTGAACAGATTCCTAGGCAAAAGTTATTCCTCTCGCTATCAAGTCTCTTTTGTCTTCATTTCTTTCTGATTGTCTTTTGATGAGAAATTTTTCAGAAGTTCCCTGAATTCCTTTCCAGAACATGAGTGTCAGAAAGATGACTAAAACACACCTTATTCTTCTAGGGAGGGTGAACAGTGGCTCAAGATGAGAAGCGTATTGAGACAAAGAATTCTGAAACCCAAAGATGTGGCTATTTTTTCCGGAGAAGTCAACCAAGTTATTGCTGATTTGATTAAAAGAATCTACATTCTCAAGAGTCAGTCGGAAGATGGAGAAATGGTGGCCAATATCAATGATCTCTTCTTCAAATATTCAATGGAAGGTGAGAAGGTGGTGTGAAAGGATGGTAAATGACTGTTTGCTAATAGCTGTACTCATCGTTTGCTGTTGCTTGTGCTAACCCCCAAACTCTGATTTAGACAACCCTCAGAATGCTGGATACCTGGGTATCCTACCTCTGTTTACAAGTGGGGAAACTTAAAATCTGTCCCAATTTTTAGGAGCAGAATCGTAGTTTCAAATCCAGTGTTTTAAATTTAAGTCGAATGTTTCCTAATAACTAGTGCAACATTTTGGTTTAGCAAAAGGTTTGCTGTGAAAAAGCAATAGATGGGCCTAAGAGACAGTACAAAGGTTTAGATGCTTGCCTAGTGTGTGACTTTGACTGTGACCCTGGTTTGAATCCAGTCACCACATATGAGCATGGCCAGTGTGGCTCCTGAGCACAGAACCAAGTGCAAACTCTGAGCACAAGAGTCAGGTATGACCCCTGAACACTGCCAGTATGGGCCCCAAATAAAAATTAAATTAAAATTAAAAGCAGCATAAATTGGGAAGGCATCTACTATAAATTCATCTTTTTTTGTTGTTGCTCTTTTTTTTGGTGTGTTTGTGTGTGTGTGGCGGGGGGGGGGGGGGGAGGATATACCCAGTGGTGCTGAGGGTTATTCCTGGCTCTGTACTGGGGCCATCATCCAGACTGTGTTCAAGGTATCCTGTGGTGCCAGGATGCTAGGAATTAAACATGGATTTCCTACGTGCAAAGCATGCACTCAGTCCACTGAACTATTTCTCTGGCCATCTCATTTAATTAAAAAACAAATTCATTTGGGATGAGTACTATATTCACATGGTTCAGAAATGAAGCTCCAAGAGTACTTATTGAAAAGTTTCTCTCTTTCCTTATGTATGCCATCGTTCCTTGTGTATCTGCAAAGAACTATTTCATGCACATATGAGGAAATACATGTGAATACCCTTTCTACCTAAAAATAATCAAAATAGAACAAAAACCTGGGTCCAGGGAGATGACTAAAGGACTGGGGCACTTGGATTGTATTCAGGATATCCGGACAAGATTCGTATAGCACATAGTCCTTTCTGAGTACTACCTGGTATGTCTTTGAGTACCACACAGAACACCCATCAGTCTCATTAAAATGGTAGCATACCCTTTTGTTTTGTGCCTTGATTTGTTTTGAGGACCTTCTGTCAGTTTCTTATTAAAAATAAAAATAAAAAAACAACAAAATCAGCTTAACCTTCAAATTGAATTGGTATGTGTGTATTTTTTTGTTTTGTTTTGGGGTCATATCTGGGAGTGTTCAGAGTTTACTAGTGGTTCTTTGCTCTGGAGTCTCTCCGGAACGTATGTGGTGTCAGGGATGAAACTAGAGTCAGCCATACACATTTGTGAGTTAACCCTTTAAAGCTTTGATATTAGTACTTTCTAAAGTGAGTAACATTGATGGGTGTAGATGGGTGACACATTCTTTCCCCCTGTCTCATTAAGTTTAATCAGCAACTCATGTATAGCTGTCTGTGCCTGGAGTTCCCTTGAGGTGAGTAGGAGTGACCTTTTAGTTCCTGGGGGTTGGGTTGATGAAAGATTGGGGCATTGTATTCAGGGTCAGGATCAGTTGAGAGGAGGTGAAAATGTGACAGGGCCTCTGACTCAGTAGATCTCAGGGGATAGGATTCAAGGTCATGAAAGTCACTCAGATGATTTGAAAGTGACTTTTCAGAGTCAAATAAATATTTAATATACATGTATGCGTGTGATAGAATAAACAGTCTAGAAGAAGAGGGTTTTTAAACTCTTTCTCGTGCAGGAGTGGCCACCATCCTGTTTGAGAGTCGTCTGGGCTGCCTGGAGACCCTCGTCCCGCAGCCCACAGTGGACTACATCAAGGCCTTGGAGCTCATGTTCAGCATGTTCAAGACCTCCATGTACGCCGGTGCCATCCCCAGGTGGCTGCGCCCCTTTATTCCTAAACCCTGGCAGGAATTCTGCAGGGCCTGGGATGGACTCTTCAAATTCAGTAAGAGAAGAATTCAGGGGCACTTTTTGTACAACCAACTTGACCTAACTTTACTGCTTGTAAATCATGCAGACAGTGACTTAGCAACTTTTAGGTGCGGTTGTCAAATGAGCAAGTAGCATCTGAGTTGGGACGATGTGGCTTATATTTCATTTTAAAAATTATTTGTATTTCGACAAATATGCTCGCAATGACTATGGCAATTTTTCTCAACCTTCTCCTAAATTTGTTTCTTTCCTATGGCCCATCTATCCTATTGGTTAATCCCCTAGTTTCTTCCATGACCCCCACATTTACTCCGTTTTCACCCATGAGTTCCTTGGAATATCCTGCGGGTACTTAGGGGGTCATATGGGTCCTAGTTGTAAAACACTGGTCTGTAGGAGAGAAGATTTTTAATCCATTAGTTTGTCAACTACTTAAAATGCAGAGAAGAGTTTCATACCCCTGTTTGTTCATTTGAACACTGTTGATTGTAGCTCTTTAGAAAGAGTTAAATTCATCTGGGGAGTTTTCCTTTTGTGTCATCTGGGATAGAACTCCGGGCCTCACACATGCCAGGTAAGAGTTCTACCACTGAACTACGTTCTAGGCCTAAATTAATTTGTTTCTTACCTGCTGAAAACAAGCTGGGAAAAACCATGTGTTAAAAAATCTAGGATAACCGGGCTGGAGCGATAGCATAGCGGGGAGGGAGTTTGCCTTGCACTCGGCCGACCTGGGTTTGATTCTCTGCATCCCATAAAATCCCCCGAGCATCGCCAGGAGTAATTCCTGAGTGCATGAACCAAGAATAACCTCTGTGCATCACTGGGTGTGACCCAAAAAGGAAAAAATAAAAATCTAGGAGGAGGCTTTAAAGCAAGGATAGTCTTCTTATATGGTTTACATTTTTACTGGGCTGGAGAGATAGAACAGGGGTTGAGGTGCTTGCCTTGCGTATAACCAATTCTGGTTTGTTCCCCGTTCCCACATCATATACTCCCCAAGCACTGCCAGGGATGACCCCTGAGCACAGTCTAGTATAGTGCTCCCACCTCCATTACTGTTAAAGGATTTCTAGGAATAAAATATTTTCAAAATGTTTAGAACAATATTTTTATAACAATGTTAACATTGAAGGAAGAGCATCATGGTTTCTTTTCAAGATCAATTTTTTTGAACACATGTAATATACTAGCTTTTATTGTAACATCTCAATTTGCATCACCTTTCCCTCTCATTTCATTCTTCTTTCTGGAAACAATGAGGAAATAAAAAACGATCCACATTCTTGTTGCTCTAAAATCTTTTGGCTCTTTGATTAGTAAACATTTGCAAATAATTTACAGATGATTTTAAAAGTGAGAGATGTTTAACTTGTCTTGAAATTTTCATTCATTTGTATACATGAACAATTCTGAGAATGAATGAAGTTTCAAGGATAACAAGGAAGGTGTCTGGGTTTCCTTAATCTCTGAATGTGCCCCAGATTGAGTCAAAGTATTAGGAGGACAGAAAGGAATTAAATAAAAAGGTGATTATACTGCCAGGAGTGATCTCTGAGCACAGAACCAGGAGTAAACCTTGAGCACCTCTGGATGTGCTCAAAAAGAAAAAAAGAAAGAAAAGAAGTTGGGATGTGAGGTAGACTACAAATTTGGAGGCAACTCCTCTGATGAGTGCTTTGCAAAGCTGTGGTATTGAAATCAGAACCATCATAACTACTTGCTCAGTTCTCCAGGTTTTTTTTCCCTTTTGTCCTAAGTTTTCCTTGACCTTCCCTGATTAGACTAAAGTGGAGCTGGTTCAAATAGGAGCTGGTGATAGGGGATAAGCTACAAATAAAGTTTGAATTTATACGTAGAATAAAAAAAAAAGAAAAAGGTGATACTTCTAACCAAAATTTCTCACCCAAAATAAAAAATGCTGTTTTCAAACAGGCCAAATTCATGTTGACAACAAGCTGAAGGACATCCAGTGCCAGATAGATCAAGGGCAGCGAGTGCAAGGTGGGGTACTCACCTACCTCTTCCTCAACCAGGAGATGTCACTGGAGGAGATCTATGCCAACATGACTGAGATGTTGCTGGCCGGGGTTGACACAGTGAGTTGTCTAGTTTTTCCCTTCTGTCTTGGTTTTTGGCATTGCTCAAGACTTACTCATGGCCCTATGCACTGGGATCACACCTGGAAGTGCCTGGGGGGCCATGTTCAGTGCCAGGGATCAAGCCACGGTCAGGTACAAGGCAAGTACATCTTGTACCATCTCTCTGGCCCTGATTTTCTCTTGATAAACAGCACAGTTAGATCTGTGGTCTTTCCACACACTATGAATAGTTCAGATGGATTTGTACGAGCTTGATATCTGCTTCACTGCCCAAGGTCTCCAGGCAAAATATGTTCAACTTATTATATGTAGGTATTAAGCATACACAAGTGATATTATATACAGTAATATAAATATGTGAATTGAATGGGCATTTATATATAAATTAAGTGCCTAGTGAATTCTACAAAAATTGTAATCATGATTCCATCATTACACATACAAAGCACCATGTGTTTGATTTTATTTTGTTTTTCCTTCTCCTTCTTTCTTCTTCCCTTCTCTTTGTTGTTGTTGCAATGACCAAGATTGCACACTTACATTGTGGGCTCATAAGGGGATCACAAATGGCAGAGCTGCAGGGGTTACACTTTGCATGTGGGGTGGTCCCTGGGACCGAACACAGAGCCTCACACTTGGAAGACAGGTGCTCTGCTACTGAGCGATCCCAGGGCCTAATGTTTTAAAGTTTCAAAAGCATTTCTATTTGCAAACATTTGTTTATTGTTTAAACATGCCAGAAATGAAGTAAAGGTAAGGTAAAAGGTAAAGGCCCTCCCGTTGATCGTTGATTTGCTCGAGCGGGCCCAGTAACGTCTCCATTGGAGACTTTGTTGTTACTGTGTCTGGCATATCGAATACTCTCGGTAGCTTGCCGGGCTCTCCGAGAGGGGCGGAGGAATCGAACTCGGGTCGGCCATGTTGGCCGCTTGTAAGGCAAACGCCCTACCCGCTGTGCTATCGCTCCAGCCCAGAAATGAAGTAGACACATATATTTAAAATCTTATACTTTATTATTATTATTATTATTATTATTATTATTTTGCTTTTTGGGTCACACCCGGCGATGCACAGGGGCTACTCCTGGCTCTGCGCTCAGGAATTACCCCTGGCGGTGCTCAGGGGACCATATGGGATGCTGGGAATTGAACCTGAGTCGGCCGCGTGCAAGGCAAACACCCTACCCGCTGTGCTATTGCTCCAGCTCCCCCCAAAATCTTATACTTTATAATTGAAAATATTTTGAGAAAGAAGGCTCGGACAGGAATAGTTTGGTGGCAGAATGACTGTCTTGTAAGCATGAGGCGAATAAGTTTGATCCCCAACACTTCCCACAGGCACCATCTGTGATCTTTATGGCACTGGGTTCCCAGCTGCCACAAGTGTGCAGTCTTCTCCAGCACACCACAGGCAACTAAGTGTGGCTGCAGGTCATTCCAAGAGCAATAACTTAAAGGGAAATGAGGGGAAAATAATTCAGGTCATGGAGATCTCTCCAGCCCTCTACTATGATAGAGCAAGTCTCACTTTATTTAATTTAGTTCAATAATTTATTTATTTTCATTTTGGGGCCAAACCCAGCTGTGCTCAGGGCTTACTCCTGACTCTGTACTCAGGGATCACTCCTGGAGGACTTGAGGAAACCATACACAGTATGGGCTGGCCACCTGCAAGGCAAACCACCCCACCCAGCTGTGTGCAAGACAAGCACCCTAGTTACCGTACTATCGCTCCAGTTTTTTTAAATTAAAAAAATAAATGTTATTGTAATTTTAGGTAATAAGGGTACAATAGTGTTCATGTTTCTGTTAATTGATCTACAAAGTAAACATTTTATGGATCCTCTACACAAGTAAAACAGAAAGGGGACTGGAGCAATAGTACAGTGGCTAAGGTGTTTGCCCTGCACGTGCCCAACCCGGGTTCGATTCCCAGCATCCCATATGGTCTGCCAGGCGTAATTCCTGAGTGCAAAGCCAGGAGTAACCCCTGTGCATCGCTGGGTGTGACCTAAAAAGAAAAAAAAGCATATAACTGAAATACGAACTAAGCAATAAAAGCAGTACAATGAAAATTTGTGGTGTGAATATGACTATGTGGGTTAGTTGAAATAGTGATGCAGTGATGAATGCCTGACTGAATAGCCTGGCCACTAAACTGAGTTGAATGCATTTTGCCTCTTGCCCCCTGCTGGTGACAGAGAGAATACAGAAGGGAACTGATGGGACAGAGAGCCAGCCAGGGCAGGAAAAGCATTCAGAGATTCATTCTTTTTTTTTTTTTTTTTTTTCTATTATTAGTGAAACACCATGAGGTACAGTTGTAGACTTACAAACTTTCGTGCTTGGGTTTCAGTTATACAATGATCAAGTACCCATCCCTCCACCAGTGTCCATTCTCTACCACCAATGAAACCAGTAGCCCTCCCACCCACCCCCACCCCCATACCCCCTGCCACACCCCACCTCTATGGCAGGGCATTTCCTTTTGCTCTCTCTTTCCTTTAGGGTGTTGTGGTTTGCAATAGAGGTATTGAGTTGTCATTGTGTTCAGTCTATAGTCTTCTTTCAGCATGCATCTCGCATCCCAAGCAAGTCCTCCAAACACCCTTTACTTGGTGTTCCCTTCTCTATCTGAGCTGCATTTTTCTCCAGCATGTGCTGCCGGTTTCCAAGCCGTGGAGCAGACCTCCTGGTACTTATCTCAACTATTCTTTGGTGTTCGTCTCCCATTCTGTTACTTTATATTCCCCAGATGAGTGCATCCGGGACTCATTTTTACAATTGATACCCATTTAAACAAAAGTGACTTTAGGGACTGGAGGTGTGGTTTAAGTGCTAGAAACACTGCTGGCATGTGTGAGGTAAGGCATGTCCAATTTCTGCCATCGCAAGATGACTCCCCTCTCCCCCACCACCATAGCCGGCAGAGGCACTGGACCCCACTGACCCCACAGCAATAATGACAACCATAAAATAAAATGAACTATTGCAGTGCAGTTTATCACAATAAACTGTATCCACTCAAGCCACACATCTAGGCTGTTGGCAAATGCAACCATTTATGAAAAACTTAAGATAGTTTTGAAATTTGTCAGTGTTGTGGGCGTAAGGGCATTTATTTTCTTTTGTTACTGAGAAGTACTCCTTTGCATGGATAGACCACATTTAGTTCTCCCATAAAGTTGTGATGCTAAGTTGGGGATGCGACCTCACATGTGTGATACTCTCAGTGTGATCCCTGGCACTGCAATTTAAAAAAAAATAGAGAATTTAAGTTTTTCTATTAATTGGAAGCCTCTACATTATTTCCTTATTATAAGGAAGAGATGGTATGCTACGTTATGTATTGCATACTGTGAGAGCTTGCCTCTAAGAAGCATGTAATAGGGCCAGAGAGACAGCACAGAGGTTAAGAGACTTGTTTTGTAAATGGCCAACCCCAGTTTAGTGCCTAGCACCTCCAGGGATGACCCCTGTGCACACTGGGTATGGTACAACCCCTAAACCCCCAAGAGTCATATAACGGCTGTTATAGAGAAATATATCAATATTTTAAATAAATTTAAGTTTACTAAAATATATTAAAATATATTTAAAACTATCAATATCAAAACTTAACGTTCTTTTTTTTAGAAAGGGCTTTTATGTTATGGGGTTTTCTTATTTATGAGAGTAAAATATAGCCACATGGATAATAGTGCTCATTTTAATGAAAGTCTTGGATCCTAAGAGAATCAAACAAAATTATTTTAATCACCAAAACTATAATTCTTCAGTCTGAGAAATGGTATAAAGATGACACTGCTTTGTACAAGTAAACTAGTCAGTCCTTAGATGTCACTTTGCTTGGTAGGGGGATGGGAAAAATGAATACTTAACTAGTAGTCCTGTCTCCCCTACCCCTTAGACTAGGCCAGCCAGCACTGTCTTGACCAGTTCTGTGGGATTCCCGAAGATCAAACACTCTCTGGTGGATGGACAGCCTCGGGCCCTGTCTAGCAAGTGTCGGATGAATCTTGCAAGGAAGATCACAGGAAATGCAGGCATTGCCTCCAGGCTTGACCAGACTCCCTCGCTCCTTTTCGGAACTCCTCCAAAGAGGAGGGAGAGAACTCTTAAGTGATTTGACATGTTTCAAACTAGTTTTTCCTGTGGCTCTTCTTTGAAAGAGCACCTGAATCACATAGTTAATGTTCCTTGCCAAAACTACTCTTGCTTCTTGCTTCTGGCTAAGGAAAATCATCTTTGATTTAGTAAGATATAAAGTGCCACAGTAGACTTGTATGGATATGGCCGCACCTGTGTTGCTTCTCCCGGGTGTCACATCTGCTAGGACTGATGCTGGAACCCTCCATTTCACTAACCACGAGGCCTGTATCTGTTGGTTGCTTTACTAGACATCCTTCACCTTGTCCTGGGTAGTGTATCTCCTTGCAAGACACCCAGAAGTGCAGCAGACTGTGTACCAGGAGATAGTGAAGAATCTGGGGGAGAAGCATATTCCAACGGCAGCAGATGTCCCCAAAGTCCCTTTGGTCAGAGCTCTGCTTAAGGAAACTTTGAGGTAAAGGATTCATCAGAGTCCATGTTCAGAAAATGTGTTTTTATGTCCCAGTTTTCTTTTTCTTTTAATCATCAGGATTGGGACCAGAGTGATTGTACAGTGGGCAGGACACTTGCCTTGCACATCTGACCTGTCTTTGATCTCTGGCACCCGATACGGTTCTCTGAGCCCTCCAGGAATTATCGCTGAGCTCAGAACCGGGGGCAAACCCGGAGCACAGCCGGTGTGCCACCCAAATAACAACAACAACAACAACAACAACAACAAAATAAAGCAAAATAAGTAAAATAATTAGGATTGTGCTTTCTACTGGAAAACTAGGTCCTAAATAAACCTTCCAACTACCCTCAGTGGCTTACACATTTAGGAAGGAGGTATTTAGAACTATCTTAGTGCTTCTCTGCTCTGGTCAAAATTGCAAGGCTCTTCTGTGTAACTAGGTGACATAGTAACTGTTCTTTAAGAAGGTCTTGGAAACCGTCCTCTAACCCAGGCTTGCTATAGTTGGTCAGCTCATCAGGATTTCCACAATGTTCCTGAATCAATGCTCCCAGGTTTTCAGTCCTCTGAACAGAAAAGAACAGGAGTGATTTGCCAGGAATAGGTTTGGGACTATTTGGTGTTGTTAGGGCGCAGATCGTGATCTCCCTTTAATGACAAAGAGACTCCAGAGATTGCAAACAGCAAGCACGGTTTATTGTAAGACTGGCTAGCCAGGGTCAAGCCACCTACACAGACACGCAGGTCAGTTAGGTGAGGCAAGACCCCGAACTTCTTCAAAGGGGATCTTATATAGGCCTTCACTGGCCGTTACAGCAAAGCCCGTGCATTTCATAGCCAATAGATTTGTAACAACATATGCTTTCTTAACCAGTCCAATTAAGGGTACATCACTTCTTAGCCTATAGTTTAAAGATCAGCATTTTGCGTCGGTGCTTAGGAACTGACAGGTTTTTAAGGCAGTCCTGGGTCTTGCAACATGGTCTTGTGAGAGACATCCGGTTATCTGGTCTGACCCCTACCCTTCGAGTACCTGTATCTGAATTCCTTGCTCAGGGGCAGAAAAACCAGTTATTTTGCAGTGCAGGTTCCTATAAAGCGAATCTGAAAAAGCTTATCTAGACCTGTTCCTTGAAAAACAAGTTATTTTGCAATGCAGGTTCCTATTAAGCTAAGCTAAATTAATTCTGGTGGTAGTCCATTTTGGGCCTGTCCCTCACAGTGTTATAAGACTGCTTACAAAATATGGTGGTTCTGTGTGAGTCTCTGAATTGAGTTGACGATGAAGCTCCTTGCTGCTGGATAGGCTTAGATACACTGGGAAAAGCTGGAGGGTGAAGGACACCAGCCCCTCGGTTGGGCCGGTGACAGTCAGAATCCTTCCTCTGTTTCTCTGTGGAGGAATCATCATGACAGAGAAAATGTCATTGACATTTTCAGAGAATGCATAAAATAGTTATTTTGAAAGCTAACCTCATAATTATATTTCAACTTGTATTGCATCCCCAATTGATAGCACAATGTCTAATTTTTAAAAACTAAGAAGGTGCATGAAATTTGTCATTTAAATTGTTTTTGTTTCTGTTTGGGGGCAACGTCCATTGATATTCAGGGGTTAGCTCTAGCTCTGCAAAGTGGAATTACTCCTGGTGGTTTTTTTGGGGACCATATGGGAAGCTGAGGATGGAACCTAGGTAGGCCATACTCAAGGCAATTGTCCTACCCACTGTACTATCTCTCTGGCCCCTGTCAATTAATTTTTTTATTCGAAGTTTTCTTGATATTATTTCTTTTTCTTTTTTTTTCTTTTTGGGCCACACCCAGCGATGCTCAGGGGTTATTCATGGTTCTTCACTCAGGAATTACTCCTGGTGGTGCCTGGGGGATCATATGGGATGCCGGGGATCGAACCCAGGTCGGCCATGTGCAAGGCAAACGCCCTCCCTGCTGTACTATCACTTCAGCCCTTCGAGATTACTTCTGAGACAATCCAAAAGCATTTCTAAAAATACACTTCTCAGAACCTTGAGTTCTGTGAACTGTTTCTTTGTTAATAGGGTTGTAAATTTCAGAAACTTGTATTAATTTCTCTTGGGAACACACTAGCACCTTCAAAGCTTTGCTTCATGCTGCATAACCCTTATTGATTGTGGAACCCTTTTCCCACATTCCTTAGAATACTCACTAAGCAGACACCAAGGAGGTTCTTGCAAGATTGCTTAGTTGAAATGGTATTGTTATTTTTTCGGAAGTGAAGGCCATTTGTTGGGACTTGATGTTGAGGAAAATATGTGAAATGTCATCACACATCCTCTGCATTCCCCTCCTGTTGGCTTATTTTCAGGCTGTTTCCGGTGCTTCCTGGGAATGGCCGAGTCACACAGGAGGACCTGGTTCTTGGTGGATATCTGATTCCCAAAGGCGTGAGTCTGGTGGTCTTGGGTTGGGCAGTGGGTCGCTGGTGGCCTTTATATTGGAAACGTCCTGTTGAATAAAATGTTCTCATCCTAGAGCAACTGTTCAAAGGTTTCTGCTCTTGTTCTCTGCATGCTTTCTGACAAAGATAAGCTTCCAGAGCAAGGAGGTAATTTCTGGGATATAACTGTTCCTAGGCTGCTTCCCCTGACTTTTCCCAGAGGCCCACGGAAATGGCCATTTCCTTCCTGAGAGAAGTTTTGGGAAGGATGGTAATTCCTCCTGGGGGCTGTGTAGCTTGGCCCCTGTGGTTCCAGAACCATCTCTGTCTGGTAGAGCTGTCCAAGCAGAACCCTTACCTCGGCTCCACATTCAGTTGTGTTGGTGCCAGCCATGAAATGAACAGAGGGAGAGAGTTCAGGATAGGAGAGTGAGTTTATTAGAATCTCAGTGCTGAGGACCCCAAGTTGAAAGTGAAAGAGACTTGGAACCCTGTTTGCTAAGAGGGTCTCTCTTTTATTCTCTAATGATGGGCTTTAATCCATGTACATTCTTATCACTGAAGCAGTGATACGGAGGTAATAAGCAAAAGGAAAACAATCAATGCATCTTTCCCACATGGTATGGCCTTCATGTGACCAAAAGAAAAACAATCAGCGTCAGTATATCCTGCCCATTTGATGCGGCTTTTGTTTGTGGCCTCCTGTGCACTCCAATAAATCTGGTGGGCCCTTAACCCAGCTGATTGGGGAAAAACTTTTTCCTCCCTTCCCTTGTTAACCTTGGGGTCAGTTTCACTGTCTCAGTTCTGATTACGATTTCTTAATTCTCTTTATGTATGGTTTCTTAGTTCTCAATACAATTCCATAATTCTCATTGAATACAGTTTCTTGGTTATTATAGTAGGATCCCATTTTTCATTTCTTTTCTGTTATCAATGGTTTCCCCAGACCCAGTTGGCCCTTTGCCACTATGCCACATCTTACGAAGATGACAACTTCCCTCGGGCTACAGAGTTCCGGCCCGAGCGCTGGCTTCGGAAAGGAAACCTGGACAGAGTTGACAATTTTGGGTCCATCCCCTTTGGTTACGGGGTTCGAAGCTGCATCGGGAGGAGAATCGCAGAGCTGGAGATCCACCTCGTTGTCATTCAGGTACTGCACCAGCCTTAGGCTTGGCCCGTTTACTGGCTTTGACTGGGTCAAGACTTAGGTGAAGAAAAGAAATGTGTTTTGAAAACCTCAAAAGTCAGAGCTTGGCATTAAATCCATCCTATTTGAAGACTTTTCCTCTGTCCTCTCTCCCTGCAGTAGCCACTGTGAGTCCCTGTAGCTGCTTGCCTTGTTTCTTTCCCTCTTAGAGACCTTGGGGACCTGAGAATGATGAGGGATGCCAAGACACTGCTGTGGGATGTATGTGTGGGGGGAGCAGGGGGGAGCTCTAAGATCTAGGACTTGACTCTGTTCTCATCACGTGCGGCGTTCCAATGAAAAGTTAGTGAAAAAATGTATGTGAGCTGTCCTTTAAGCATTAGAAGCATAAAGACAGCATAAAGCATTGAAATGCAGGTTCTCAGAGTTGGAGTGATAGAACAGCAGGTAGGGCATTTGCCTTCCACGCAGCTGACCCGGGTTGGATTCCCAGCATTCCATATGGTCCCCCGAGCACTGCCAGGAGTAATTCCTGAGTGCATGAGCCAGAAGTAACCCCTGTGCAATGCCGGGTATGACCCAAAAAGCAAAAAAATAAAATAAAATAAAATAAAATGAAGGTTTTCAGGCCCAAGCCACAGACAGTGATTTGGTCGGTCTGGAGTGGAGACTCTAGGTACATGTGATGCCAAAGGTCTGTGAGCACTTGGAATACACCCTGGAGGGCAGAGCTGTGGGCACCTTGGACCCATGCTAGTGACTGTGTCTGCTCTGGCCTCAAGCATTCTCTGTCTAAAGTGTGTCCTCACAGAGGCACACCGCTGCTCTTTCTGCTCCCTCCAGCATGTCTGTCTGTATTTCTATGAATCAGTCATGTACACAGTGCAGGAATCTACAAGCTTGTTTCAGTTTGGTTTTGTTAGTGAACACCTTCTGTGAAAAATCTCTAACTGCATATGAAGTTCAAGATAGAGCAGGAATGAATGTCTGAAAGAAGAGTCTAGAGCAGAGAAACTTCTATTCTATAGCCTTGTTTGGGAGGATTGTCCTTACCCCCGTGTAGCAGGCAACAGTCCTGCCTGAGTGGTTGGCAGATACTGACTTGAGTGTTGAGAGGCGGTGGGGGTTACCTGGTAATGTAGTTTCCCCATTTTTCTGACGAGAAAGTGGAGAATCATGAAATTATAGACACTTGCCATAGTCAGGGTGGCAGTGCAGGGCACAATCTGGGCACTTGATTTTTTTCTTAGACAACAGGGTGTTGGGACTTGTATAGGAGAGGGCATGGGAGAGCCAGGGAAGTCTGGCCGTCAGGTAGGGATGGGGGTGCAGAGGCACAGGATGGACAAGAGAAAAGATCCCCTGAGGGCTAGGGGGAGGGAGAGGCCTCTGTTCAGGGAGAGGGGCAGAGGTGGCCACAGCACCTGGGTCTGATGGCGCAGGGTGGAACCTGGGAGGTTCACAGCAGACCTGGCATACTAAGCCGTCACCCCTTTTGTCAGAATGCTGCAGCTGTGGTTGGGCAGGGCTGAGCGGCGTTGCTGCTCGTGTTGGCCAGTCCTTGTGGGGTCAGGGGCATGGAGTGGAGCCCCTGGGCAAATGGGCTGTGGTTTGGCTCTGCCAGTTGCTGCCACTGAGATTCCTGGCAGGTTTCCGGGCTTCTCGGGACCTGCTTTGTCATCCACAAATGGTCAAATAGCTGCCTCTTCTGTGTGTGGAGAAGAAAAATAGTCTGTGCAGAGCTGATGGGGAGAAGTGGAAGCAGTGTCTCTGCTCACGGACTCCAAGTTTCTTCCCTAGGGAATGTTGTCAGGAAGGGCTTAGGCTGGTGAGCCGTAGATGCAGACACAGAGAGAAGACAGAGGTCGGAAAATGGGTGGATAAGATGCTGCTGAATGGTCCGTAAACAGAGGACAGGCAGAGACTGTTTCCTCCTGTGGCCACTCCCCGGGCTGTGGGAGGCTGGCTGTTTCCACAGAGGAGGGTTTGGCAAGTGCAGGAGAGATTGGCAGACTGGTGCCGAAAAGGGGTCGGAGGGTCAGAGTAGGGGCTGCTGTTCAAATGTAAATGTACCTGTGATGGTTCTGCTTTGAGTCCTCTTTACTGCTTAAGCATAGTATAAAAAGGGATCTTGATGTATAATAGTCAAAAGGAAAAACATACAGAAAAAGCAAATAAACAGTAACAGAAAGGAGAAGGAAGACACGTGCTGTAAATGAAATGGATGATCATTTTTTTTAATATGAAGAAAATACCACCAATAGCATTCTGCCAATACATTTAAAGACAAATACAATGGACAGTTTACTAGAAAAACATGAATTCACTAAATTGATTCAAAAGAAAGAGCAGAGACCTCAGATATAGAAAACACTGAATCAGTGGTAAAAAGATCAACCTCCCCAGAGCATTCCAGGCCGAGACTTTTGCTGGCATGTTTTATCAGTCCTTCAATGAATCATCATCTTATACTAAAGAAAACAGGAAGAGGAAGTCTCACCTTTATTATGAGATTTGTATCACCTTACTATTCAAAGCTTGGAAAGGATAATCTGGAAAAGGGAAAGTGATTTATTTTATTTTATTTTTACTTTTTATTTTTATTTTATTTTTTAAAGTTTTATTGGGCTGGAGCGATAACACAGCGGTAGGGCGTTTGCCTTGCGTGCAGCCAGCCCGGACGAGCCGGGTTCTATTCCTCTGCCCCTCTCGGAGAGCCCAGCAAGCTAATGAGAGTATCTTGCCCTCATGGCAAAGCATGGCAAGCTACCCGTGATGTATTCAATATGGCAAACACAGTAGCAACAAGTCTCATGATGGAGACGTTCCTGGGCCCGCTTGAGCAAATCAATGAACAATGGGAGGACAGTGATACAGTGATACGATCATGGTCATCCTGTTGTTCGTCGATTGCCTCGAGCAGGCACCAGTAATGTCTCCTTCATCCTAGCCCTGAGATTATAAGAAGTGCCACATTCAAGGCTCTTTCAGGGTTAGGAGAATGAGAGCCATCACTGTTACTGGTATTTGGCATATTGGGTACGCCATGGGGAGTTTGCCAGACTCTGCCGCGTGGGCAGGCTACACTCGGTAGCCTGCCAGGTTGTCAAAGCAAGAATGAGATAATAAGAAAAGAATCCGCGATCACACGCTTCCGCGAGCTGGGTTTTATAGTCTCTGGGTCTTGGCCGTTGATGGGACACCCGGCACCAGGGGGTGAGTTGGTGGGTGTGACCCCTGCCTACTGGAAGATGGAGGATCTGGGTGGAGGATGCTCAGCCCTGAACTGAGCAGGTTTGGAGATCTCAGGCCCGGGATCCGCGTGTCTTTGTTTCTCTGCCGGTACCTTCATGCGTGTGGAGAGTGGTCTCAGCATGGTGGTGGCTGGTTCCAGAGGTCTTCGGCTGCCAGGGCTCTGCGCAGGGCAGGGAGGGAAACTCAACCCACCCCCCTCCAAGGGACCCCGGCGAGGACAGCCAGGCGCGGGGGCAGGAGACTGCGCTGTTCTCTTCCTGGAGTTGGGTTTTATAGTCTCTGGGTCTTGGCCGTTAATGGGATTACACGATGCTGGGGGGCAGTTGGTGGATATGACCCCTGCCTACTGGAAAATGAAGGATCTGGGTGGAGGATGCTCAGCCCCGATCCAAGTAGGCTTGGAGATCTCAGCCCAGGGACTCACATACCTTTGTTCCTTTGCTGGTGAACAGTGATACAGTGGAAGTTTTATTGGATCACCATGAGATACAGTTACAAACTTGCATGATTATGTTTCAGTCATAGACCGTCAAGCACCCATCCCTCCACCAGTGCACATTTTCCACCACCATTGTTCCCAGTGTCCCACCTGCCACTCCCATCCCATCCCACTCCCTGCTTCTGTGGCAGGTGCAATCCTTCTTAATCTCTCTAATTTGGGGCTTTATGATTTGCAATACAGATATTAAGAGGCCATCATGTTTGGCCCTTGGTCTACTTTCAGCACACATCTCCCATCCTGGGCGATCCCTCCAAACCATCATTTACTTGGCAGTTCCTTCTTCATCCCAATTGCCTCCGTTTCCCCCAGCACTTGAGATCAGCTTCCCAACCATGGCATGATCCTCCTGGCCCTTATCTCTACTATCCTTAGGTGTTAGTTTCATATTATGCTACTTTATATTCCACAAATGAGTGCAGCCATTCTATGCCCGGCCTTCTCTTTCTGACCAATTTCACTTAGCATGATACTCTACATGTTTATCCACTTATATGCAAATTTCATGATTTTATCTCTTCTAAAAGCAGCATAGTGTAGATGTGCCAGAGTTTCTTTCTTTCTTTCTTTCTTTCTTTCTTTCTTTCTTTCTTTCTTTCTTTCTTTTCTTTATTTTTGGGTCATACCCAGCGATGCACAGGGGCCACTCCTGGCTCTGGACTCAGGAATTACCCCTGGCGGTGCTCAGGGGACCATATGGAATGCTGGGAATCGAACCTGGGTCAGCCAGTACAAGGCAAATGCCCTACCTGCTGTGCTATCACTCCAGCCCCTATGCCAGAGTTTCTTTAACCAGTCATCTGTTCTCGAGCACTCGGGTGGAAAGTGATTTATTTGCTGTATCGCTGTATCACTGTCATCCTGTTGTTCATCGATTTACTCAAGTAGGGGCCAGTAACGTCTCCATTCGTCCCAGCCCTGAGATTTTAGCAGCCTCTCCTTACTCGTCTTTCCCAATGCTGCCATATTGGAGGCTCTTCGATAATGATTTATTAACAAAGATGAATATCCTAAGACTGGAGGGATAGTATAGTGGTCAAGTGGCTTACCTGGCTTGCAGCTGCCCCTGGTTTAATCTCTCCAGCACTAAATATGGTCCCCTGAGTCCTACCAGGAGTGACCCCTGAGCACAGAGCCAGGAGTAAGGCTTGAACACTGTTGGTGGTGCTCCTTCCACCCCCTCCCACCCTCAAAAGACAAACACCTTAAAAGAAAAATTGGCAAACCCAACTGAGACAGCTAGGACATGGAAATGCACTGGTACCAAATCAGCACTCAAGTCCTCCTCCCAGCTCAGTGCCTGAGGGTGGTTCCCAGCAGTGCTCTGCAAGATGCTGTGATAGGAATGATCTTGGCCCTTTGAGCTCTCTCTCCAGGCCACCAAAGGTTTTCCTTAAATAAGCAAATGTTTGTTTTAAAATTTAATTTTTTTATGGGTGTTACCCCATCAGAGCAATAACAGCAAACTCCCCGGGACAGTAGCTGCAGGGCAGGGGAAAGCACAGCTTCTGTAGGCCAGTGTTCTATTATGCATTCTCTGAACTCAGGAATGAGTTCTTTTTTCCTGCACAAGAAGAGTGAGGAGGGGCTGGAGCGATAGCACAGCAGGTAGGGCATTTGCCTTGCACAGGGCCAACCTGGATTCTACTCCCAGCATCCCATATGGTCCCCTGAGCACTCCCCTGAGCACTTCCTGAGTGTAGAACCAGGAGTAACCCTGAGCATTGCCGGGTGTGACCCAAAAAGAAAAAAAAAGCACAATAAGAGTGCCAAGCAGATGCAGATTTCACCCCAGTCCTTGAGAGCGGGAGAGCAGCTTTGTTTTTTTGCCCACAATCTCCTGAAAACTTAAATTTTTTCAGTGAAGGCATGCTGTGTCCTCAAAAAGGGGCAAGGTCTGTGACATACTGGTCCAGGCATTATTAGCCCTCTGTGTGCATTCTTCTGTCCTGGGGGATGGGGCAGGCAATTCTGAGAATCAGATCAAGAGGTCTGAGGGGGGATGTTTTAGATGAAGCCATCTCGATGCTAGAACATCCCGGAGCAGCCTGAATGCAAGCTTGTATCCCCCCATTGTAGCTCTGAACCCCGCCTCCCAACCCCCATTCCCAGTCTTCTCATAGGACACCTGAATGGGTACCCCTTCTTGGCCTCCTAGAATAGGTTGGAGAGGGAGCCAGGGCAGGGTGGGATGGTGTGGGTAACACATGACACTATGATCTCGGACACTGATGCTGCATTAGGTGGTTGGATTTTATACACGCATGCCAAGGGAAGTGGAGCAAGGCCACCCTTTCCTATGGGAGCTGGTGTTTATTTACAGAGGTCTTTGCAGCAGCATGTTGCTTCTCATTCCCTAAACCAGTTCCATGAGGTCTGGAATCAAAGGTACACATCAGGAATAATTAAATAAAGTCAGTCTCGAGAGAGTGTGTTGGGATGACTCACCTCCTCCCCGAGACCGTGCCCACTGCTTCGCCTGAGGAGGCTGCAGTTCCTAGCAGGAAACCAGGAATGTCACTTTGTTCCCCCATGATGTCTTTGATTCTTTCTTTTCTAAACCTCAAATGGAAGCAGTTGAGGGAGAATTTTGAAATGGCTAATAAAAAAAGAAGTCATTTCAACTTTCTGCACCGTGTCTTTGTCACCCGGCTTCACAGGCTCAGTGGACATGACAGTCTTGTCCCAGATCTCATACCTCGGGTCTGAATGCCTGGCACGCAGCTAATGAGGCAGTACATGTCCTCTCTTGAACCCTTGGTTCCTTGAGCCCAGGGCCATGTCAGAAGCAAGCAAAAGGCGGCTCTCACATTTTTTACTTTCCTAATGTCAGATCCTTTCTCTTTCTCTTCATAGCTGCTTCAACATTTTGAGATCAAACCATCTTCTTGGACGAAAACAGTTCATGCAAAAACCCACGGGCTTCTGACGCCAGGGGAGCCCATCCACGTGCGCTTTGTGGACAGAAAGTGAGTCTGGAGTCTAAAATCCAGACAGGGGACTGACAGGAATTGGGGATTCCTGTGTTGCTCACTGATTGTGGCGGAGGAGGAAGATGTGGAGGATCATTTCTGGAGGTTGCCTTATTTCTAAACTTGGCCTTGGTTTGTTAATCTTCATGCAAAGCAATATGAACATATTATTTTCCATGTGTATTCTAGAGTTGCCTTTGGGGAAGCAACTATTTCGAACTGGTGGCACTGAATTCTGTGTCCTGAGTTGGCCTGCTCTTGCGTGATGCTCTATATTCAGTTTTTGGCAGTGTTGTCTGCATTTGTGCAAGGAAATGTTGTTTACTTGCAAATTTGTTGCTTGAGTGTATTTTTCTAATGCTCCATCGACTCCCTATTAGAAGGCACTTCCAATTTCTCACTCCTAATAAGAAGAGGGTACATGAAGAGGCCTTTATAATACTGTAATTATGGAAAGAAGCATGAGAGGCAGCTCAGTCCTGGGCACCACAGCCTACAGCAGAATTCAAAATTAAATAGTTAATAAGGTTATGTTCTTATTTTACTTTTTCACTAAGGGCTTCATTTTTCTAATCATGGTGCCTAAAGATATTAAATATTAATTTTTGTTTGAAAGAAATAGTGATAAAATTAAAGATTAAAAAATGGGGAAATAAAGAATAATCAGGTTTTCTGAGTCTAAATATTATCCAGATGTGTAGGGACTGAAAATCTGAATATAGGATTTCATTTTCTCAGTTGAAAAAATGAATTAGAAAAAAAAATGAATGAATTAAATAAGTTAAATAAGCATTGTGGAAATCATATAATTTTTAAATTTTTTTATTTCAAGAAAAAATAAATATGTGAATGGACATGAGAAGATAAAATAATATTTTCTGAGACCAAAATGATGGTTCATCAGGTAGGGCATTTGCCTTGCACATGGTTGACCTGAGTTCTATCCCCAGCAACCCATGTAGTCCCCCAAGTTCCACAAAGTGTGATCCCTGAGCTCAAAGTCAGGAGTAAACCCTGAGCATTTCTGAGTGTGGCACAAAAACAACAACAGAAGAAATAGGTTTTTCTTTTATACTGGTATTTTAAATATCCAACCTGGAAATATGATCCAGCTGGTGCTCTATAAGGTGGATGCTTTCCTTAGTCATGCTATGTTCTAGTGCCTTTCATCCAACCTGATAGTTGCTAATAAGAAAACAAATATGTTTTCATAATGTTCTCTCTGCACTGTCATGCTTGAAATCTCTATTCCCAATTCCATAATTGTTTTTACATGACCCTTAACCCTTATATCACTTTCCCACTAAAATATTCCATTAATCTCCCCCTTTTAGTCAGTCTGCCAGATAATCCTTTAATTAGATATAATATTCATTTCACAATAGATATTTGTTCAAGTATATACTGAAATCTGTGTGTGATGACAGTTATCCAATATGAGTTTTGTAAAAATATGTACAGTTAAATATAAAATTGTGTCATGTTGGGTTACTTTGAAGTCATATGTATATATTTAATAAATATATATAAACATTTATAAACTAGATAAAGTTTTATTCTGAGACTAAACATTTAGAAATATTGAAACTGGGGCTGGAGTTATAGCACAGAGGGTAGGGTGTTTGCCTTGTATGCGGCCAACCTGGGTTCAATTCCCAGCATCCCATATGCTCCCCCAAGCACCGCCAGGAGTAATTCCTGAGTGCATGAGCCAGGAGTAATTCCTGTACATCTCTGGATGTGACCCAAAAGAAAATTTTTTTAAATTAAAAAAATATATATAAGTATTGAAACTAACTAAGCAGATGGAAGTGATCTTTTATTCTACAACTCAGGCCTCCAGTGATATATGGCCCCACCTGGTGAAGGCCTGAAATGCAGGCAGGTCAGGCGTAACTTGGAGTCCATTACTTAATCTCAGTAGACAAAGGCCAGTCAGACAGATAGGAGCCTCTTAATGGGATGCAGAGGGAAAGACGCAGCTGCAACCCAGAAGTGTTTGTGTCTGTGAAATGGAAATGGAGTAGGGAAGTCTCTGGAGCCAGCTTACAGGAAGCACAAGACCAGGGAGGAATGTGAAAACTCCCTACAGATGCAGTGAGTAAAGTCCAGAATGGAGTGATGGATTTTGCTGATAAGGCAAATAGTTTATTTTTTAACAAGTAATAAGAGTAACAAGAGGAAAAGGAGTTTTCTAGCTAGAGCTTCAAGGGACATATACTATGGAGTGCTGGGTTTGGTTTGAACTGATCTAGATTCAAATAAGCCACTTTCAAGGTCTATTTGAAAGATAATTTGGAGGGTTGGAGAGCTAGTGCAGTGGGTAGGGTGTTTGCCTTCATTTGGCCAACCCAGTTCAATCCCTCGCACCCCACACATTTCCTTGAGCACCACCAGGAGTGATCCTGGAGCACAGAGCCAGGAATAAGTACTGAAAATGGCCAGGTTTGACTCAAAATCAAAACCAAACCAAAAAGAAAATAGGAATTTTGGATACTGTATTTGATGATATTGAGGAATTACTATGAAATTTTTTGGTGTGGTATATGGTAATTGGGCTGGAGTGATAGCATGGCAGGTAAGGCATTTGCCTTGCACATGGCCCACCTGGGTTTGAGTCCTCCATCCCTCTTGGAGAGCTGCTGCAAGCTACCGAAAGTATCCTGCCCACAGGGCAGAGCCTGGCAAGCTCCCTGTGGCATATTTGATATGCTAAAAACAGTAATAACAAGTCTCACAATGGAGATGTTATTGGTGCCCACTAGAGCAAATGGTAAATGGTAATTATGTTAAAGAGAAAGATTGCTCTTAAAAGCCATAATGCATAATGTCTCTGCATTAGATATAATACTCTCTTCCTGGGTACCTGAAGTTCATGAGGTGGGTTTAAAAAAAAACACCCAGCTATGGGGAGTGGGAAATGTGTGTATGTAAGGGGATGGGGGGGTGGAGATATGGGGGAGTAAGCTGTGAACCAAGATTTCCCAAATGTTAATAATTGCTAAAGCAGATGGAGGGCACATGGGAGATTCATGACTCTATTCTGCCTACTTTGTGTATGTGTGATCATTTCCATAATAAAAATATCTCCAAAATCTTTGGATTTGACCTATTAGTCATTTCATAGTTCATCTTCTATTACTATTCCTAAACCAGCAACACTGACTACAGATTTAATTCTGCAGGAAGCTATACCTGCTCTTTCAAGGATTGTAAGTAAAGTAAAGGCCCTCCCGTTGTTCGTCGATTTGCTCGAGCGGGCCCAGTAACGTCTCCATTAGAGACTTTGTTGTTACTGTGTCTGACATATCGAATACGTCACGGGGAGCTTGCCAGGCTCTGCCGTGCAGGCGAGATACTCTCGGTAGCTTGCCGGGCTCTCCGAGGGGACGGAGGAATCGAACTCGGGTTGGCCATGTTGGCTGCATGCAAGGCAAGTGCCCTACCGCTGTGCTATCGCAGAAGGGATTATTATCAGAAATTTTCTATTGAACAAAAATATAACTATTGTGCTAGATTTCGGTGACCTGCCAGACAAGGGTCATCTAGCCTTGGTGGTGGAGGACAAGTCCAGAGATATCAGGAAGGAGAGTAGCCCAGAACTGCAGCAGCCACACAGGGGACCTACTTGGGGAGAGCCATCAAGTGGAAGGCAGTGGAAAACAACAGGTCCAGTGGAGCAGGAAAATTCACTGGCAGGTTGTTTCATTTCTTCCTATGGGTGTGCTAGCCAAATGAAGGTTGGTAACTGGCCAGGTCTGAGAGAAGGCAGGATTTAGAGCAGAGGGTGTGGAGACTCTCACCCCTACACAGAGGTACTCCTGACTTCTCGGCTATCGCACACTCCCCCATATGGTTGAGAGAGTGATGCCTGTGGGAACTGTGAGGGTCCGGAAAGCAGGCAGAGCAGAGGGAGACTGGGCTGTTCCGACTAAGGAAAAGGCTCAAGATCTAAACTCCTAGCAGGACTATTCAAGGGCCTGCAAGGCAGAATCTCTCTCTATTTATTTATTTATTTATTTATTTATTTATTTATTTATGGGATTTTGGGTCACACTGGCGATGCAGAGGGGTTACTCCTGGATCATGCACTCAGGAATTACTCCTGGCCGTGCTTGGGGGACCATACGGGATGCTGGGGATCGAACCCGGGTCGGCCGCATGCAAGGCAAATGCCCTACCCGCTGTGCTATGGCTCCAGTCCCAAGGCAGGATCTCTTAACCTCTCACCCAATCACACATTTCTTTTGACCAGGTATGGTGGCCTGTGTGCCACTTGGTGACAGACAGGGGCTCTATGCAAAGGAAGGTAGGGACGCTGAGTAGCCATCCATGCACGTCACCAGTCTGTGGGGTGGAGGTGAGGGTTTGGGGTAGGAGGGTGAGGACTGAAGACCCTCTCTGGGCCATCCTTAGACCTGTTCTGTGGTTATTCCATTCCTAGTCTCTGTGGTCCCTCCCTCCACCTCAGGTGAAATCTCCAACTATTTGCAATACATTTTAGGTCACTTTGAGAAAGGAAAAAATAGCTCTAGTTACTTTTAGCATCCTCACACTTGCTTTTAATAATGAAGGTGCTCCGTCTGCCTCAGACCTTCCCCTGAGGTCAGACACTCCATTCCCTCAGCTCTAAGCCCCAGGGCTACAAGCCCGTGAGGCCTGGAGAACTCAGCTCCTCTCTTTTACACCTTGCCCCCCACCCTCCCTCCACCCCTTTCCCCCCTGGATGGACTATCTAGTCCCTTGGGGAGTGTGGGGCTGGAGGACGGGTGGAGAACTGGAAGGACCTGAAGAATGCACTCAGGAGCTAGCACATCCAGCTCCTAGACTGGTAGATGGGCGAAACTGATTCCCTCTTCTGGGGGTTTCCTAATTGAGGATGCTCCACTTAGGTTTCCTGAAAACTGGGCGGTGACACCCTTCCAAGGCTTTATGATTGCTCTCACCTTAGGGCTCCTGGGGTTCACTTCTCCTGACTGGGTGCTGCGGCCTGTCCAGACCTTCTGGGGGAGAATATAACCCCCTGTTTGATTCCTTTTGTAGGCGTTTCTGGCTTCCTCCCCAGCT